CCCTTGAAACTTGGTTATAACTAGTTTGGGTAACTTGACTTGCTAAGAATTTCTTTGCTTGATTTACTTTCTTCCATAAGTTTCTTTTCATAATCATGTTTCATTTGCATTTTCGCTTCCTCGAGTTTTAATTCTTCTTCGAAACGCTGTCTTTGTTTATTATCTTCTCTCAGTTCATCTTCTTCCCTAGCTTTCGCCTGTAACTTTTCCGCATCACCATGTAACTCAGCCATAACTTGTTCATACCTCGCAATCTTTTCTTCGATCTCAAGTGTCCATTGTGTAATATCTTCTGGGTTTTCACCCTTCTCGATTTTCGCTGTTTGTATTAAGACTTCTTGCTGGTGAATACTGTCGATTAACTCGCTAAATACTTTCTCTTGTCGCTCTAAACTCTTCAGTTCGTTTTTCTCTTGGATTCACGGTGTATCACTTCGCGTAAATTCAAGCATACGTAGCTTCGCTTCGATCTTGTTTAACATTTGTTTTACGTCCGCCATCTTGAATTTATATTTTCCGTGTCACATAAAATAAACATCCAATATCGATATATTTCACTCCAAAACTACCTTTTCCAAATATTTCTTGTTTATAAAATCCTGTTCGGGTTCGCCACTTTTGTCGGGATTTGCTTAACCCGGCAATAACTCACGATTGTTCAGTTTATAGTTTACTTTATTGCTGATCTTATGTTCTCGTTTTTCACCCATCAAATACATGTCAACAACAATTCACTACCATATATCAACCAAATTATTACTAAATATGCCAACCTCGCGACAAGAACTCATTAATAGTTCATGAAGAAAACACAAAAGAAATCATGGGCGCGAATGAGCTCCGGCGTATTTTGCTGGAGCCGGAAAATAAAGTTAAAGGACAATGGCAAACAAAATTTTTATTACTTATATCTATTAGGTATACATACGGAATATTTAATTTCATATTTTGGCCGGTTTGTCGCGTTTAGTTGTTGAGAAAATTTGATTGAATTTGAGAAAATTTCAACAGTTGTCCGCCATTTTGAAAATAAGCGTGTATGCTAATTTACGCCAGAAAATACATTATCTGACGTCATTGGCTGGGTAAACACAATCTCATGACTATAAACAATACCGTGTATTACCACGCGTAGTGCACTTTGAGCCAAAACAAAAGGCAGAAAGTTTTATCAAGTATGTAACTTGTTTGTAACACTATTTCTCATGGTATATATCCTACTCCGTGTTAAATAAGCGCAGAACTTCGAGTGTAACAAGACAAATACTGATGCAATACTTTATGATCGATTACCTGTGTTGTAAATTGCGACATTTCTTGCTTTCCCAGTCGTTCGATATGTTTTTATCTGATAGTGTAGACTTGTTTGATTGCGAAGAGTATTGGCCAGTATAACGCTCAAAACGACATATTTTAGTTAACATAACACGCACGCAATAGAATGCTCTCTTGTAGTTTTGATTCTACCCAGCCAATGACGTCACAAAGTTCATTGACTTTCGAGATAATTTTCAAAAAATGTTTCCAAGATGGCGGCGAAACACAAAGTTTGCATGCATTTTTCTCGTACACTAAAATGTTCGAGAAGGAAAAGATAATATTTTCATAGTTAGGTCGTCAAGTAGGATTGAAATAGCCAATAAAAATTTTCGTTGCCATTGTCCTTTAATTAAAAAAAGATTTAGCACCACGTAAAATGAAATATAACCTCAATCAAATGACCCTCTATAAAGCGTTCCCCCTCTACCAATCGCCCTGCCCTAAACGTGTGAATTTCTTTTATTCTGTTGTTCGTTTGTCGTTATAATGCCACGGGCATGGCGCAGGGATTTAATGATAATCCTAAAAGACGTCTGATCAGAGAAGACTTTCACCAGCTGTGTGAATTCTTATTTATTCCCTTTCTTTTATCCTGTTGTTCTTTTGTCGTTATAGTGCCATGGGCACGGCGGGGGAATTTAATGGTAATCCTAAAAGATGTCTCATCAGCGACGTCTTTCCGCCTCGGCCTTGCCCGATCAGCATAAGCGGAATGCGATTATTTTTTGCTTTACCTTCTCGGAGAGCTTGCAAATGTGGAAGCCTATATTCTTTCTTTTCTAGACAAAATAAAGTTAAAACAAGATTTAGCACTATGTACAAAACACAATCAAAATATGACGAGAAAATCTTATTTACAACAATATATTCTTGTGAACAGAACAAAATACTTATAGCTTGCCTAAACGAGCCAGCCTGACCCATTGCTTTTGTATGGAAAATTTCCCAGCCTGAGCACCCTTAAATCAGGCCAGCTTGGTTACAAGTAGAAAAAAATGGATAGTTAAAGGGCTTAAACTAAAGCAAATTGTCTGAAATTTTGTACAGTAATTAAAAACCCAACACATTTTCCATCCAATAACTCAAAATACCATTAAAGCTTTTAAATTTCGTGCGCAAGCCACTTATATTTTGTTGGAAAACACACACACTCCTGGTTCACAAAATTTGAGTTCAAGAAATTTTTTTCATTATTTTATCTTATAAGTACCCAAAGAAGCTATATACATACTAATGGCTGTTTTGCAAAATCGAGATGAATTTCAAATCTGTTCATTTTTTTATACACCCTGTATTATCACTCTGCCTATTTTCAGTTGTATTTCGGCCGCTGAAAAAGATCGTGACTCAATCTTTACGACCGTTACGACCATATGGAAACCAGGCTTTGGGCTAAAGTTGTGTAGTGTAAATTGGCCTTCAGACAGATAATGCATCACCCAACAATTTTAGTTATACACTTGACTTTAGTTAGCTTGATTCACATAAAATTGAAAGACCTTAATTGGACGTCTATTGATTTTCCATTCTTAGCAGGATAAAAACAGAAACAAAGCAAAAAACAACAGATAAAGTCTCATTCCACAACATGCTTAATTGTTTACTTCCCAGGTTGGAAAACTTGTATCAAATTCCCTACGCGTAGCTGCGAGTGATCTGGATTGATCAGTTGCAAGCTGTGAGTGGACCTATAATCTGATGTGAGCTGCGAGCAAATTTAACCAAAGCCATCGTCTCAAAACAAAGGTTATTTCGAAAGGAATTTTTTCCGCGACGCTTTTACGTAATATTTCAAATCCGACTATGAGAACTGGATTTCATGTCCGCGCAATTTGATCAAATCCGAGGCGAAGCCGAGGACTGCATCAAAATGCGAGGACTTGAAATCTAGTCCGAATTCGAGGATTTGAAATGACATCTCATACGAATAAATCACTACTTAATTAATTTTAATCCAGTCCCAGGACTGGATCAATGTACTGCATTAGATACCCAGTATTATCTTGTAAGCAAAATAAACCAATATGGTTGGCTAATTTACTCATGAATTATTAATGATTTGAGATGGTTATTTTCCACATTTCGACGGTTTGTTGACAATAGCAAATTCAATAAATTTTTCCATCTTGGGTAAAACTTGACGTCCAACATTTCTGCTGTCTTGAAAAATGTTTTTGCATTCTGCCCCCCCCCCCCCAACCCCCGCGTAAAATTCCTTAAAAGAGGCACTAACAAGTACCGTTTTCAAAAAGTAGTCAAAAAGTACTCGCTACTTGTAAATTGTAGTTCGTTAAAGCGGCGAAACGTAACAGAACGGCGAACATACAGATTCGGCCATCTCAGATAATGGTAATGTTGGGATAGTAGCCTTGCAGACTGCAGAGGAGAGTGGGCAGTAAGGCTCTCTCATACATCACCCCATGGAAAACCTGCACCCCTCCTTGCAGATGAGGTTAGATCCGCCCCTGCAAGTGGGTCCTACAGTCTAATTGGAAAGTTCACATCACGGGCGGATCTGGCCTGATTTGTTAGAGGGAGTGGAGGTTTTCCCCCAGAAAATTTTTGAAAGTTGAAGCCCTGAAATGCCATTTCCTGCATTCTGAGCACTACGTTTATTCGTTAAATTTGTCCTCACAGTACTTGTATTTAGGGCAAAAATAAAGAAAAGTGCTACGTTATATGGTGACCCGCAGTACTGGTGCTTGAATATTCAAATATGGAATACCAAAGTTTTCAAGCGATGCCGAACACCAGCAGGGGGACGAGGGGTGAGCACCCCACTGGTAGATCCGCCCCTGGTTCACATAACCAACATCCTCTTACAGTTTTATAAATACCTGCATTTCTTAAACACTCGGCAGATTCTTTATGTTCGTGTAGCATTGCAATTTGATACGGAGTGCTACCGAATCCGTTCAACGCGTTGATGTTTGCACCATTTTTCAACAACACCTAAACAAGGATTATAAAGGTTATCATTAATTGAAAAAAACACAACAGGTGTTTACCTGGTGGCTGGCTAGTTCACAAATCTGACACTGCCAAATTTAGATGATCAAAAACCTGGAAGTTATAATAGCAGTGATGCCAGAATGGGGCACCCCATCCAGTGCCGCTGAGAGGGGGGCAGGAGGGACCCAGCTCAAAAGCCCTTCCCCCCAAAATAAATTTATGTGGAAAAATTTATGATACGATTTATTGTGGAAAACGATTTTTTGAACTGGCATGAACCATTCTCGTACCGTGATTACATTATACCTTGAGCTGCCCCCAAAACCAGGAGACCATTGGAATTGACAGCTCTGCAAATGTCATTACAAAAAAACAGGGATGCTGAAGAGGGGGTGCACGGGAGGGACATTGCCCTTCCCAACGGGGGCAAAGGTGCCCTTTTTGATATTCGGGAAATATTTAAAAAAATCATTACATGTTCGCTTCATGAGGCGAAAATTACAAATTATGAACCATTAAAATGGTCCTAACTCACCTCAAAAACCTGCCCCCCCCCCCCTCCCTCCCCCCAACATCGTTCACCGTCCCTGCAAAAAACTGATGTTGTTTATTCAATTTTCAGCGGCATTATCTCTTTGCCTATTTCTACCAAAAATTGCGAGGATTAACTGAGCTGCTGAACATAGACTATCTCACGAGAGAAACAAACCTTAATGCATTTCACATGACCGTGACATGCAGCTTCGTGCAATGGTGTATCACCATCATTGTCCACCGCGTTCACACTGGCACCATGGTTAAGCAACAGTTGAAAATTATCACTATGACCACAACGTGCAGCTACGTGCAATGGTGTATCACCCTTCTTGTTCACCGCGTTCACACTGGCAACATGGTTAAGCAACAGTTGTAAGATATCAACATGATCCCGAGATGCAGCGTCGTGCAATGGTGTATCACCATCACTGTTCACCGTGTTCACACTGGCACCATGGTTAAGCAACAGTTGCAAATTATCACTATGACCCCAACGTGCAGCTATGTGCAATGGTGTATCACCCTTCTTGTTCACCGCGTTCACACTGGCACCATGGTTAAGTAATAGTTGTAAGATATCAACATGAGCCTGAAATGCAGCAAAATGCAATGGTGTATCACCATCATTGTACACCGCGTTCACACTGGCACCATGATTAAGCAACAGTTGCAAAATATCACTATGACCCCAAAGTGCAGCTACGTGCAATGGTGTATCACCCTTCTTGTTCACCGCGTTCACACTGGCACCATGGTTAAGCAACAGTTGTAAGATATCAACATGTCCCCGACATGCAGCGTTGTGCAATGGTGTATCACCCTCATTGTTCACCGCGTTCACACTGGCACCATAGTTAAGGAACAGTTGTAAGATATCAACATGTCCCCGACATGCAGCGTCGTGCAATGGTGTATCACCATCACTGTTCACCGCGTTCACACTGGCACCATGGTTAAGCAACAGTTGTAAGATATCAACATGATCCCGAGATGCAGCGTCGTGCAATGGTGTATCACCATCACTGTTCACCGTGTTCACACTGGCACCATGGTTAAGCAACAGTTGCAAATTATCACTATGACCCCAACGTGCAGCTATGTGCAATGGTGTATCACCCTTCTTGTTCACCGCGTTCACACTGGCACCATGGTTAAGTAATAGTTGTAAGATATCAACATGAGCCTGAAATGCAGCAAAATGCAATGGTGTATCACCATCATTGTACACCGCGTTCACACTGGCACCATGATTAAGCAACAGTTGCAAAATATCACTATGACCCCAAAGTGCAGCTACGTGCAATGGTGTATCACCCTTCTTGTTCACCGCGTTCACACTGGCACCATGGTTAAGCAACAGTTGTAAGATATCAACATGTCCCCGACATGCAGCGTCGTGCAATGGTGTATCACCATCACTGTTCACCATGTTCACACTGGCACCATGGTTAAGCAACAGTTGCAAAATATCACTGTGACCCCAACGTGCAGCTACGTGCAATGGTGTATCACCCTTCTTGTTCACCGCGTTCACACTGGCACCATGGTTAAGCAACAGTTGCAAAATATCACTATGACCCCAACGTGCAGCTACGTGCAATGGTGTATCATCCTTCTTGTTCACCGCGTTCACACTGGCACCATGGTTAAGCAACAGTTGTAAGATATCAACATGAGCCTGAAATGCAGCAAAATGCAATGGTGTATCACCATCATTGTACACCGCGTTCACACTGGCACCATGGTTAAGCAACAGCTGTAAAATATCAACATGTCCCCGACATGCAGCGTCGTGTAATGGTGTATCACCATCACTATTCACCGTGTTCACACTGGCACCATGGTTAAGCAACAGTTGCAAAATATCACTATGACCCCAACGTGCAGCTACGTGCAATGATGTGTCACCCTTCTTGTTCACCGCGTCCACACTGGCACCATGGTTAAGCAACAGTTGTAAGATATCAACATGAGCCTGAAATGCAGCGTCGTACAATGGTGTATCACCATCATTGTCCACCGCGTCCACACTAGCACCATGGTTAAGCAACAGTTGTAAGATATCATCATGACCCCAACGTGCAGCGACGTGCAATGGAGTGCTGTTGCTCAAGGGACCGATACGTTGATTCAACTTGTTGATGATATCCGAGTCTCTTTGTATGATCTCTCGTACTTTATGAAGATCCCCGTTTGCACAAGCATCGCGTAGACTTTCATCTTGTCTTGTTGACATTTCTTGGTTCAAACCTTGATAGAATTTATTATCATAGTAAGATTTCCAGAAGCGAGGTCCTGTTAGGGTTTTAGGATTACGGATTATTTGGCATTTTTGGGCAGGATTACGGATTATTGCTAGTAATAAAAAAGATTATGGATTATTTTGATAGGATTTTAGGATTAAGGATTATTGATATGCAAAGATCATATATAATTTTTTTGCCATTGAAAATTAAAATGAGGTAAAATATGCAGTTTGTAAGAGGTCATAAGATGCCAGTCAATATCAATATCTTCAATATAATGGAGACATCATTGAAAGGTGCTAAAAAATTTTAATTACTGACCATTTCGCACAAGTTAAATGGTCAGCCCCTAAAACGACGCGATAAAAGTTGGATAAAAAGTTTTAATAGTTTCATTGTAATCGATTATTTTCTACTCAACAAGACAACAGAAGTAAACTAAGTAAAATTATTCATTTTCCGGATCGCTTTACAGCACGGAGATGCTTGAAAAATGCTTTTTGGTAGACAACTACAAATTTTAGCTTCCGCAAAACAACTTGTTCATTACAACATTTATAAAAACAATTTTGACCAAATTAAGCACAGGAATCAACCTTAAACTGCCATTTAAGGTATTTTTTAAAATTTTATGTTAAAGGACAAGTTATACTTTATAGTATTTTATAGATTTATACGCATATTTTCGAAGAATAGCTGAAGTAAAGTCACTGTATTTTATTATCTTTAGTATCGATAGCGTAAATTTTTCTTCGCTCCTCGGTTTGTCGCTAGAAAATAACTTTTTTGGACCACGGTCAAGACATCGTAAAAAGCTGCCCGCTCCTGCAGCCAATCAGATTGCAAGAAATGAAAAATAATAACGCCTAATTGACCGAGCGTGAGGTCTGTACTGTGAAATATCAGACCGAGGTTTTTTAGTATGGACCGAGCGACGAAGGAGTGAGGTCAATGCAAGAAACAGTGGTCTGATATTTCACAGTACAGATCGAACAAGCGAGGTCAATAATCAGTTTATTATATAGCTGAACTGAGTGTGTGAGCATATGCTTTTCGCGCGAATTAAATCGGCTATCGTCAGTTTCACTGGGTAACAATATACGGTAGGCATGAATGCTCAATGAAAAACAATTTGGTTGTTTGAAATTTTTATCTGTAAATTTTAATGACACACAACTGGAAAATTAAAAGGCAAAATTTGTTTCTGTTTGGAAAGCAAAAAAATACGGACCACGGTCCGGACATTGGGGGGGGGGGGCAAGGGTATTTTCGTGACTCGTGATTAGGTATTATTCGTGTTTTGTGATTCGTGATTTAAAGAAATACCATTCCGTGAATCGTGATTAATATGCGCGCCGTGAATCGTGAAGAGCTAAAAGGCTAGCTAGGTTCTTGAATTTACCAATATTAAACCGTAACTTGTGAATGTTTACGTTTAAAACTCGGCCCAAATTTAATATTATGGGGGGAGGGGAATGGGAAATAAATAAATTTGCTTCCCGCGGTTGTCTTTCTTGAAGTTTCTTCGTTTCTTGAGGTTGCTTCGTGTCTCGTAATGTTTTGTAATGCCTCGCAATGATTTTCATAGTCGTTTAAACGGCTTTAATGTTAAAGTCAGCGAGTTCTGCTGTCTAGAAAATCCGCGTTAAATGGTTTCAGACTTTGTTACGCTTCTGCGTTTCTAAAAATGGTGAAAATGAAATTTTGTTTTTCGTGACTCGTGAAATCGAAAAATAATCTTCGTGATTTCGTGACGAGACCCCC